TAAAGGCTCTACCATCCAAGTATGCTGGGAAACTTTATGGAGGCTTTTGGATACAGGTTCCCAAGCTATCAGCAAACCCTGTGCTGTGGACTGAGGGCTAGATTCAATAAAGGGGTATTGGGTAGAGTTCATAGCACAGAAGGGAAGCCCTCTATCCACAGACGTTCCTTTGTGAATAAAGCCCTTTGGGCCAATTCAAAGCAGTATATTTTCATGACTTCCACTGTTGAATATAGTATTGGTATTGATACTTTAGATGCTTGGACTATGAATGATCAAAAAGTCCAGAGGTGATTCCCCTGTTCAGGTAGAGATGCATGTAGAGAGTGCTAGTGGGACATGTAGGTTCCTTCCGAACCCCTCTCCTCCTCCTTCCTTGTGTGGTTCAGCAAAACAATATAATATCTCAGTAGGAGAGACCCAACAAACCTGATTGAAAACTTAAAGGCAGCAGGGTGAGTAAAAGATGCAACATCTCAATATAACTGTTACTGTATGGCCAGTGACGAGAACTACTGGGAGCTGGAGCTTTATAGTGGATTATTACCAACTGATTAATTGTTGCTCCTGATTGAACTGGTCAGCTGTAGCCCTGGTTGTTCCAGAACTTGTGACTGCAATGGAAACCACTGTATTGACTGATGTCATTGGTATTCTGTCTAAAACATTGCCAACACTTCTTTTCTACCCCACTTGCTCCTAAAGACCAAGACAAATCGTGGCAAGATACTTTCCCAGTATTCCCCTAGGATTCCTAAACTCCCCTGCTATTTGCCACCAGTTGGTGTTCATAATTTTTCAAGAGTGCCTCTGCCCTCTGATATCCAAAGTTTACTCTGTAACGTTCATGTACAGTTGGCTGGCCAGTCGGAATCCGCAGTCTAAACAGACCTGAGTTGGTTTTATTAAACCTCTGCCAACAGGATGAACCCCAACAAAATTTAGGATACTGCTTGCCAAGTAGGGTTTCTTGGGAACATGTGTAGGTAAAATCACAACACTATGTCCCTCTGGCAGTCAAGAATAAAAATTGTCTCTGGTCCCCTACTACTAAAAGGAGATCCAGCACCTTATGGATTCCTTGTGTGTTGTAGATAGCATGTGTCTCACTTGGGCATTCTACTTGGTCTTCTGTATCAGCTAATTCACAGATTGATATCCTTTGAGTAGAGGAACAAATCGACAGGCTATACTGAAAGCTGCCCAGCAAGCTGTGGCACACTCTCTACCTTTGGGGATTCACAGAGATAATTACTCCTTTGGCCTAAAAGTCTATGTGATTGATGATTTTTCCTATTGTATCCCCTGGCAAAGAGAGGCACTTTATAGCTGGAGGTGGCCCTGGAGGCTTTTGACTTGTTTCCTCCATGACACAAGTACCAGGTATACCCCTTCTGAAAAAAAAATATTAGCTTGATTAACTTGAACTTAATTATTAACAAGGTGTAAAGAGCCCAACAGATCTCTCCTACCTAGTGGAAAAGGCATATTCAAGAACATAGCTGGCCTGGCCCAGTGGCGTCTTGGTTTCACATGAAGAAGTGTGAGCTATATCCCAGTCTGCTGACTGAAGCAGAGCTGCTGGCTCAGTGGGGCCCTCTGTTCACAAGGATTCCTGTAAATGTCTGGGTGTGGTCCACTGATGGTTTAGCTAAGCCAAGCCCTGTGGTGCCCAGTAGGTGGCTACAGCTGTTAGCCTCAGCACCAGCTATACAGAGTGGAAAACAGACATTCTACTCAGTAATGGGTAACCAATCATCAGATTGTTCAATCAGCAGCTGTGATTTGTTTCCAGTGTTTATGGCCCTAGTCTGTAGTTTTCCAAGTGACAGACCAAACACCCAGGCCATTGGCAATAGTTCAAGTCATTAAAAATAAAGCAAAGTTCATCAAAGGGCAAGTTGGCCATGGTTAGGAAGATAGCCTTAAGCTCTGTCCACTGAGCCCCTCCCCTGTTGGGAGTAACTGGAATCAAACTACTGATTGCTATTATGCTATCCAGATTGCCATGATTGATGT